CAACATGAAGAATTTGGACCAGATGTGCTCTAATTATCTGGACAGTCTGTGCTCAGCCAGCACACACCACAGGTTTTGGGCTCAGTATAGAGCAGGGGGCAAGCAGAGAACTGGAGATGCCTTGAGAAAGACTGTGCATCTGAGGGGACCAAGCCCTCCTCAGCAGAGCCCTTGGGTTTGGCACCTAGAAGGAAGGCTCTGAAATCAGACAGACCTGTATTCAAATCCTGACTGTCATCTCGCTGGATGGCTTTGGACAAGATGCTTAACTTTTTGCCTCAGTTTCCTTATCTGTAAATGGGTACCACAGAACTTATCTCACAGGAGTGATTAAATGAGCTCTAAAGTATAGCAATGGCATGTGAAACTCTTTTTTTTGGAGGGGGGTTGGTTTTTGTTTTTTTGAGATAGCATCTTGCTAGGTAGCACTGGCTGGCATGGAACTTCATATGTAGCCTAGGCTAGCATCAACTTTCAGTCCTCCTGGCTTAACCTCCCCAGTACTGGGATTACATGTGTGTACTACCACATCCAGCTATAGAATTCTTTTCTTTCTTTCTTTCTTTCTTTCTTTCTTTCTTTCTTTCTATCTTTTTTTGTTTGTTTGTTTGTTTGTGGTACTGGGGGATTGAACCCAAGTCTTTGTATCTGCTAGGTAAGTGCTCTACCACTGAGTCACATCCCTAGCTTTGTGTTCTGCTAGGGTAGCTGGGCAGGGGACAGATGTACCTGGCTCTGTGGGGTCTTCCTACACCTGTAGCAACTGCATTGTTCAACCTCAACCTAAAAACATGGCCTGAGAATTGGAAAGGAAATTGGAATAACATTGGACATATGGACACCATACTTTAGCCCTCTTAGTGCAGGGAGTCCAAATGTAGATCCTCTCTGACCCCTGTCCTTAAGCAGCCTCTGTTACCTGCTTTGGACGGCAGCTCTGTGCTCTAAGGCTAAATTCTCTCCTAACGGGTAGCCCAGTGTACTCTGTCTCATGGCTTGAGCACTGTAGGTGAGCAGGATGGTGTGGCTGAGGGTGAAAAGGGCCTCCAGAGTTGATGCTGCTACAAGCTATACAGCAGTGGGACTTGCCTGACAAGAAACAACTGAGTATCCAAGGTGTCAGACCAATCAGGTAGCCAGTCCCAAAACTTTCTGCCAGGGATCTGGTTGTAAATATCACCTAGGAGAGTCTCATTCATTCTTTCTATCACTTATTGAGTACCTACTATGTGCCATATCTGGCACTGGAGCTACAGAAATGCATCAGCCATCATCCCTGCCCACAAGGAGGCCACAGCCTGGCTCCTTGGCAAAAGGGGGCTGTCAGGTGGGGAATCCTCTTTGGGATGGATGCTGTTTAACCACTCCTACATGTTCCTTCCATGCTGAATCTAACACTTAGATCAGGACCTGCTTCTACCTCTGCCTCTATTTAGCTCAGCTCTATCTTCAGCCCTTCCACATCTGGGCATAGCAGTGGCCCCTTCCTCTTCCTTACAGGCACCTTTGATACTCTGCCTATGGGAGGTGCCACCCCAAGCATTCTCTCCATCTCGGTCTGGGAGGGCCTCTAGGTGGTCAACCTCATTTATAAATTATAAATGAGGACAATAGCCTCATTTATTTTCCTTTTCTGTTCTTTTTGTTCTTGCTTTTTTCTTATCTGCTAATCTCCTTTCCCTCCTCTTTCCTGTACCCTCTCAGCCTCCCTCATCCAGGCCTTGGTCTGTCCTCTGTAGCTGGACACCCAGGCAGCAGTGACAGCAGACCCAGCTGGTTTCATTCCTGTGCCAAGTTTCCTCTCCCCAGCCAGCACCTCCCTGGCTTCTGGTGTGAGAGGCTTCTTCCTTTCCTCCTCCTGCTTTCTGCCTTCCTATGCTCTGGGATTTCTTCTTCCCCAAGCTTTTCCTCCTTGCCCTTCCCACCCTCCTTTCCTCACTCCCTTCCTACCTGCTCCCTTTGGCTTCTTTCCTCCCTTCCTTCCCTGTCTGAAGGAATGGTAGCGCCCTCCTCTGGAGTGAGCCACTGCAGCCCCTAGGGCCTGTGGCTAGCTGAGTACAGGGTCTGCCTCCCTGTCACCAGCAGGGCACCGCCCTCTCCCTGCCCTGAGCTTCATCTTCCTGTGTCCCCATAACTTTCTTTGTGCTCCCTCACCATTTATTATGACTGCTGCCTGGTGGCCTTCCTTCCCCCTTGGAGAGGCTCCTCAGGCCTTCTCCATCCTCTGTGGGCTGGGCCAGGTAGGGGTTCTCTGTGCTTTCATCAGTCACTTTATTGTCCTGCTCCTTTAGCACCTTCTTGCTACCCACCTCCCCCCACCTTCCTTCTCTTCACTCTTCTTCCAGTCTCTGCCTCCGCCTCCCACAGCCACCTCTTCCAGTAGCAGGCTTCCTTTTGCCTTCCCCTCCTGCCCTCCTTTCTCTCCCTTGCCGTCTCTGTAACCTGTCTTACCACCAGGGCCTGAGTGTAGAAAAAAATAAATAAATAAAAAGGTCAGTGAGTAGAGGGAGCAGCAATAACCCCTAAAACAGTACTATCAGTGGAACATGATTGATCAATTGAATTCCATAGCGGCTGAAAAATGTGGGATTAAGTAGTGTATTATACGCACAATGAGTTGAGGCATGATGTTCATTTCAAGTTCATTTCGCCGGCCTCTGCCACCAGATCAGGCAATCAATAGGGGCAGCAGATATCATATATCACCTCTCTGCGGGCTGGGAGAGAGCACCATAATCTCTCGCAAATTTAGAGTGACAGATTTGTCAAGATCTGAAGGGCCCCTGAATAAATGAAGGCAGAGAGACTCCTCCAGCCAGTGACCTGAGGACAAAGCTCCAGTTCAGCCCCTACACACACACACACACACACACACCACGTGCACACAAACACATAATGCATGCACACACACACACTTACACAGCATGGATGAGCCAAACCACACACAGGCGTGCACAGAAACCTACACAGAGGCATGATATATGTCCTGACACACGTATGCATGTACACACCCACACACATAACATGTGAATGCATGCTCACAGACAAATGCACATTCTACTCCCCATTTGGTGACACTGTAATACCATACTCAAAGACCCTTGGTGCCACCCTCTTCAGTCCTGACGGCAAGGTGGCCCAAAAAGGTGGGAGGGCTCTGGGAAGAGAGGATTAGACACATGGAACATGCAGATAACTCCAAGCAGGGAAGTTCGGCTGACACACATCCTGGAAAAACAAATAATCACAGGAGAAACGGGGGGTGTGGCTCACACACCCCTTGCAGACGCACACACACACATATGCACTCCCACCCTTTCAGAAAGGTTCTTACTCTGTCATTTAAACACACAGAGACCCTTGTTATCCAAATGTTCCTATGTACAAGTGTATTTGCACAGAGAATATTCACACGAAAGGGAAAAATAAATATACCACACCCCAACCCATATTTGCGGACACTATACCCTCTAAGACTGAAAACTATTTCAGATCCTTGCACAGAAAAAAACACAAATACTAGGTTTTGTGTCCATAGGAACATAGGAATACTATCAAGGTTGCCTCTGACTGCCTCAGACTGGTCTTGATCTCTCTCTCCATCTCTCTCTCTCTCTCTCTCTCTCTCTCTCACACACACACACACACACACACACACACACTTTGCCTTCCCACCTCCTCTAGGACAGAGCAGGGGAGAAGAAAGGAGATCCCTTTAGGAAAGCAAGACCCCTGCTCCATCTGTGAGGCCAGCGAGGGAGAATAGCTGCAGGTTGAGGTTAATCAATATGTAATATTTTCTATGGTCTCCCAAATGATACTGTATGGTGTTACTGTATATAATGCAATATTGATTATATCATATCATATAATCACCTATAAACTGATATATATAACAGTCCCAGAGGAACACCCTGGGGCCTACAGCATGGACTGGCCCCAGGCCCAAGTCTCCCTAGTTGGTCTTGGGCTGAGGGAAACCAAAGAGTGACAAGCTGGTGCTGAGGCTGGGAGGTGGGGGGCAAGAGAGGTGCAGGGTAGGGATTAGGGAAAGGCAGCAGAACAGGCATTTTACACACTGTATGCTCTGAAAGCTCCAGAGACCCCCCAAGCTGGAATGCAGGAGTAAGAATGCCTGGGTGGATCCTGACAGGCATAGAGACAGGATTGTCTTGTGGCCCCAAAAGAATGGGTACTAGTGGGCCCACTGGGGGCCCTTTCCTCCTGGAGCAAGTCTGGTTCCCTGTGGAAACCTGCAGAAAGAGCCAGGTGCCTGAGGAACTGGCTCCTGACAGAAGCCTGAGCCAGAGCTTCCCAGGGGAAAAAGATGGCCAGGGCACAGCAGCACACAGACTCCCTGTAGTCTGCCCATGTAGGTGCTTTCCACCAAGAGGAAAGAGGTGACTCCTCTTTCCTCTTGCTCTGTTGCCTCATACCCAACCCAACCTGAGCTGAGAGCCTCAGCTTTGCTCTGAGAGCCCCTCCTCCCTCTGAGGGCAGTTAATGACTTCACAGTCTCCATGTTACACTCAGCCTCAGATATTTGATGATTTTCAACCCTCAGAATCAGTGGAACTGAAATTCATCTCCAAACAGAGTTCAATTCTCCACAGGCTTCATAATGCCAGTCTGAGAACCCAGCTTCTTGCCCAGGTTGACCCAAGCTGGGGACAAGCAGGGCCTTGGGGAGAGATGCCCTTGAGAGATAGCCAGTGAGCCCCTCTGGTTCCCATCTACCCAGACTTTCCTGTTCCCCATGCTGTGACTTCTTTCCCTTTATCTTTCCAGCTTCTTCAAGGCTCTGGTTTCCTAGCCAGGTCTTTGAGTCAGGGCCAGCTCCTGGGCCAGCCTCTCTAGCTTATGAGCTGGAAGTAAGAGGTCCTGGCAGGGTTGCAGAGTCCTGGGGGCCAAAACCAGTTACCCACCTTCTTTGTTCTCTGCACTCTTCCTATCCCTCCTCTGGCCTGGTGCTAATGCCCCAAGTGTCCATGTGATTCCAGATGTATCTGAGGGCTCAGTCCCCAATGGAGACTCCCAGAGTGGTGTGGACAGTTTACGGAAGCACTTGCGAGCTGACACCTTCACTCAGCAGCAGCTGGAAGCTTTGGATCGAGTCTTTGAGCGTCCTTCCTACCCTGACGTCTTCCAGGCATCCGAACACATCAAATCAGAACAGGTAAGGAAGGAGATTCCTGCTGACTGCAGTAGTGAAAGGAACGGGGCAGAGCAAGACCTCTGGATAATTTGAACCTCAGACACCCAGCACTGCATGTGTTCATATGGAGCACCATGTGTGTACAGTGTGAACATGCTAGCACAAAAACATTAGGGTAAAGTTAAGAAAAATCATTGTGATATATAGTAATTAGAAATGATGCATTCTAGATTCATACCTGTAGTCTCATCTACATGGAAGGTGGAGATAGGGAAGATTAAGGTACAAGGCCAGTCTGGGCACAAAGGTATCAAGACCGCATCTCAACAACAACAACAACAAAAAGCTGGTGTGGTAGTATGTACCTGTAATTCCAGCTTTGCAGGAGGCATAAGTAGGAGGATCACAGTCCAGGCTGGCCCCTGCGAGAAACAGGAGACCATAACTGAGAAAAGAAAAGCAAAAAGGACTGGGGGTGATAGTCCTGCCTAGCAATCGTGAGGCCCTGAGTTCAAACCCCAGTATGGGAAGGATAGAGGGAGGGGGAGAGGTTGAGAGAGAGAGAGAGAGAGAGAGAGAGAGAGAGAGAGAGAGAGAGAAAGAAAATGAAAAAAGAAATAATGAGCTCTAGGTGCAAGGGTCTAGCCTTGGATAAATCTTAACCCCATTTGGAGCCTCTGTTCCCCATTTGTAGAATGAAGGGCTTTGATGTGTGGTCTGTCATGTCCCTTCCAGCTCTGCCATTCTATGTTCCTGGTGTGTCTGAGACCTCAGACAAGAGGAATATCCTCTTATCATGCCTCCCTCCTGCCCCCACAGTCTTACATAAAATCTGTGGAATTCCTCTTACCCAGTCCCTGCCTCCTGCTCCCTGCATGATCCAAACATCAAGTGCGATCACAGGCAGTCTGACAACCTACCCTGACATCCAACACTTCCTACAGACATGAAAGGACCCAGAACACACAACCTACAGCATAGCATATCAGCAAAACATAACACAAAAGCCAGGCACAGGCAGCTCATGCCTGTAATCCTAGCTATATGGGAGGCTGAGATTGGGAGAATTGCACTTCAAGGCCAGCCTGGGCAAATACTTTGAGACCCCATCTCCAAAATGCAAAATGGACTGAAGGTGTGGCTCAAGTGCTACAGCACCTACTTTGCAAGCTCAGAGCCCTGAGTTCAAACTCCAGTCCCACCAAAAACAACAACAAAAACCCCCACAGAAATGCATTTCCAACTCCTAAACACCACCACTATCCACCTGCTTCCTTTGCCAATTCACAAGCCCCAGTGCTCACTGAATAGCCCCAGGGGCTCCTTGAAGCCAGTAGGTGTGCACTGTCCCCAGATCAACAGCACAGGACTCCTCCAGCACATACCTCCACCCACATCAGTGTAGCCCCCAGCACACATACCCACATACAGGGGGCACACTCCCATCCCTCCCATGCATATGACCTAAGCCAGGCCTCTAGTTGCAGCACAACTCAGCCTGCTGGGCTTGCGTGCATACACATCCACACGTGTACACCAGTGAGGCCCCGCAGGCTTTACACAACACAGTTCCACTCTAAGACTCCAACAGCTTCTAGCCACTCGCCTTTCTCCCCGCCCGTCCTTTTATCCCATAAGCTGTTTGTCTTCATAAAACAAAAATCAAAAGTCTTTTTAAGGTGCCCTGAGCCATAAACCAACAAAGGAGGAACCGGCCGAGGCGGGCAGCTCAGTGCACCCTCCCTGAGTCCCCGGCTGTATTACAATGAATAACCTTTATTTACTTTCATTAGACTATTAAACACCAGCACAGTCATTTTTCCCCCTGAAACTCGGAGCAGGGCCCATAAAGCAAATCCGAAGCCTAATTGAGTTCATTTTAATTTCTCTCCGATCACAGCGAATTACTCTGGTGATAAATCAGGGGGCAGCTTCACCCCCAGTAGAAGGCCTAATTTGCAGCTAATTACAAAACTGATTTCTACAGGAAGATCAATACGAGAAGGAATTGGAAATGACGAGGCAATCCCATCCAGCCAGGGAGGGGAGGGGGTCCTTTGGGGGGGCCAGGAAGCGGAAGGGAAAAAAACAGACCCGAAAGAGCAGAAAATCAGTTTTAATTTAACGTAATATTAATCAGAGCAACTTTTCCTGCTTTGTGCAGGCTCCTGGTCTGCCCAGCTCCGGGGTCTGGCTTGCGGTGGCTGCAATAAAAAGGCAATTACCCGAGTGTTTCGGGCAGGACACCCTTTCAGAGTCAATGACTGGCCCCCTCCCACCCTTCTGTTAGCCATGTGGACTCTCCCCCTCCCCAATTTCATACCCCAGTGCACAGGCAGAGAGCGAGGGGCCCGTGGGGCTGTCTTTGTTTGTTTTTAAAAAAGGGGTGCCCAAACCACATCAGCCACCCTAGCACTGCCAGGCTGGAGGCCCTACTAGGCCTTTCCCCTAACTACTACCTCTGCCATCATGTCAGAAGGGGAGCTCCTCCTCCCTGACATGGGTGGGGGGTTCCCTGCCTCCCCCCCACCCCGGGGACTTGAACACCCCATGCCTTTTAGCAAAAGGATCCCCACTGCTCCACTCACCCCCTGGGGCTTCTTAGGCAGGAGATACTACAGAAGTTTGAAAGGTACTGGCAAAGCCACCCACAATGTGAGGCTGCACTTCCAGCTCACCACATCAGGTCTATGCCCACCTCTACAAAACTCTCCATCACAGCCCAGTCCACCCCTCCCGATCTCCCCACCTGCCATCCACTCTCTTCCACCCCATCTGGGAGGGCTCCCTGTTCCTCCTCCCCATCTGCACACCAAGCCCTTTCTCTGTGCACACATCAATAGGGAGCTGTCGCTTTTCTCTCTCCTCCCAGGGGAATGAGTACTCCCTCCCAGCCCTGACCCCTGGTCTTGATGAAGTCAAGTCGAGTCTATCTGCATCTACCAACCCTGAGCTGGGCAGCAATGTGTCAGGCACACAGACATACCCCGTCGTGACTGGTAAGGAGGCTTCCAGGAGGGTGGGAACACTGCTTTCAGTGGGGGCACCTCAGCGTGTGCCATCTGGGGCCCAGTGTGACAATTGGGCCCCCTGGCATGATATCCACAATGAGAAAGAGAGCCTTCAAAAATCAGGATGCTTCCTGTGTAGATGTTGGGAGAAAACATTGTGGTCAGGGAGTGTTGGCCTCAGCCTGGAAAGGCAGACGCTAGGGGGCTGCTACTGATTCTCTCTGCTGTCCTCCTGCCTTCCCTGTCTTTTTTTCTTGCCCAGACTTCTGAGTCTCTTGTTAGAATGTGTGCAGAAGAATGCAGAGGGCAAATAGGCCAAGCTGGCAAGAGTGGATCATAGGTGTCCAATTTCCAGCCTCCATACTCCTGTGTTCCCAACACTCCTGGGGGGCCTGCTTTCCCCTCCCTCCAGGCAGCATAGGGGGCTGTGGCTTTGGACTTGAGGGCATGGCATCCAGCTCTGTGGAGTTAGAGAGAAGCACAATTACTGCAACCATACTCTTGTCTCCTGAGAAGTCACTGTGACCAAAGTTGGATTTCAAAGCTAGGTAAGGGTTAGGGTTAGGGTTAGGGTTAGGGTTAGGGTAGGGTTAGGGTTAAGGTTAGGGTAAGGTTAGGGTTAGGGTTAGGGTTAGGGTTTCAATGCCGGGGAGGAGCACCCTGTTCAGGAACCCCCATAGACCAGTAGCTGCAGAAGCAGGTGAAATGGCCATGCAGGGAAGGGCTGGGAATGACGCTCCCAGCCGCAGACCTACAGGCTTAGGAAGGCACCTGGCACTGCAGAAGGGTTTCCGTGCCAGGAAAGTGCCCAAGTGGGAAAGACACACATTGAGGTGTTATTAAAATTCACCTAATTATTCTGGAAACACTAAAGCCAATGTGCCGTTTGTTCTTTGGGAGACAGGATGATTGAGAAGTGTCTCGATGGGGATTGGGAGATACTGAGGCGTTACCTGCCGAGTGAGCGGAGGAGGCCTAGGGACATGGCAGTGGGGCTGCAGGCAACCAAAGTCACAGCCAGTGGCAAAGACAGGGAGCAGGCACAGGCCCCACTGTAGGACAGGACCCTGGTGGTGTCTTGGAGATGATTAGGCTGAGATGGGCTTGGAGTAGCCACCCAGTCTTCAAGGGGCTCAAGAGAGCCCTGTCGTTAGCTTTCCCAGGTTCTCCTGAAGGGATTTCCTGGTATCACTGTGTCCAGTCTAGATGGAGTTGTGCTCTTTGGCTAGGAACTCAGTGGCTGGGTCCAAGAAGTACTGCCAGGCTGACGGGGCTAACGGGAGCAATGGCCTTACCTGGATCAGCTGGGTCAGAACATAGACTAGATCAACTGGCCCTTCCAGTGAGCTTCTATAGCCCAACTTGGGACCGCTCTGACCTGCATATCTTCTGACTTGGGCCAGGCCAACTTCTCTGGTGCTGGTTACTTCTCAAAGGTGGCCACCCCAGGCAACTGGCAATGGAGAGCACAGGAGACTCTCTCTGATCCCAATGTGCTCACTATGCTCAGAGTTGCAGTCCAGAAGGCAGGGCCTTCCTGGGGCTGGACATGTGGCTCTTCTGGGTAGGGATCCTCCTGCAGCGGACACTGAGGCTGGTGCAGAAAAGTGCCTCCACCTTGAGCAGCCCCCATCCGCTTCCCCCCCACCATGGCCCTGGAACAGTCCCAGCTCAGCCCGGGAACATCTCCGGCTGATCCATCTGGATCCAAGTGTGAGAAAAGTTCATTTCAGACCCAGCTTGACATTCCCAGGTGGCAAGTTAGCACTAACATCTCAATCTGTATGCGACATTTCAATCAAGCGAGGAGTAACAAAAGCAGAACCATTAACATTCGGAGCTGTTCACCAGTGGTAATGACGGGGAAACTCACTCAGAAACTGGAAATTACCAAAAAGAGAGAAGTGTGTGGAGAGGTGGGGGAGGGGAGGTGGGGGAGGGGAGAGGGAATGATTTTTCCACACTTAGGCCAAGATCCAATGTTTGGATTAATAGTGCCATTACCCAAGAAAGGGCTGCAGATTATGTCATTCTTAAAATGTTTTTGCTGGCAATTAAATGGCTGCAGCTATTGATCTTTGTTGATTTTATGTCCTCCTAATTTGCATAATCTATTAAAGATGAATGATTCATGATGTGTTTATTATGGGGACAAACAGAATTTGCTAGAGGTACTGTCAAGGTGAGAAACGGGACATTGCCCAGAGACATCGTGGACCATCTCTGGAGCAGGTTCAGTGTGTCGGCCTTCGGGCCAGGACTTTGTGGGTAGCAATGAGCAGTGTGGCTAGAACAGCCAGGAGAGGTAGACTTTAGACGAGTTCCTCTAGAGAGATGTTGGCATCTGTGAGTACTGGGCTCCAAGCTGGGAGAGGCTTTTGGTCTATTTGCAGAAATTCCTCTCAAAGGTTATTTAAAAGTTTATTTCATTTGAGAATAGTGAGAGATTTGATGGAGGAAGAAAAAGGGAGACCCTTCCTGGTAGGTAGGTGGTTATGGCCAGGTGGGTGCTAAGGTGAGGAAGCAGCAAGTTCACACTGTGCCCACAGCCTGGGTTAGGTGTTCTAAGGTGTTCAAGGCGTCCTCTCCCTCCCTCATGCTACAGGATGGTGCCTACATCTTCCTTCCTGAGAACAGGCAGCAGAGGCTGCAAACATTCAGGAATGGGTCCTGAGGAAGCTGGCCCAGGAAGGCCCTGACCCACCCTGAAAAGCCAGACCTTATTGATATTCCTGCCAGCTCCTAGCACTGGAGGCTGATTTCAAACTTCACCAGCCACTTGATGCAGCTGTTCCACAAGGTCAGGACTCAGAGGAGACAGGAGCCTGGACTATTGTGTGGAGGGTAGAGTGGGGCCCAGTGGGCCAGGACTCAGCTAATCACATTGCAAGCAAGGGTGACTACCAGAGGTTAGGACTCAGCCCGATAGCCTCTTCCCGCCCCCCTTCCATCATGGAACCAAGGCGAGAGACCGATTTTTCTGGGTGGTGTTTGCAAGTTCTGCCGAGATTTTAATTTCACTGCATCACAACTCAGCAAGCTGCCAAGTCAAGCTGGTTATTTAAATTTATCACCCCCTCTCCCTTCCACTGCTGGGCTGCTTTAGCTCGGCAGCACCCTTGTCTCCAGCCCACTGCTCTAGGCTGCTGGTCTGGAACAGAGCCGAGTCTCTTCTAAGTGATAAGGAAAAGGGGACCTGCTAGTTAAAAGAATGGGCCATGGGCACTCTGGCCTCAGGCTTCCTCTGGTTGGCTCCTTGTGGCTGCCTTCCACCACCTTACTACCTCTCCAAAGGACCCCACAGGGGACCGCCACTAACCCCTAAGAGGTCTTTAGACCCTTTAGGTCAGGGCCTGTACAGTGAAGACTCTGGCTGCAGCTGCATGCTGGAGTCTTCATTTAATGAAGTCTCCTATCCCTGATGGAAAATATAGCTCTTTCTTCCCATGGCTTCCTCACCTTGCCCTCTCCCTCCCTGGGAGGACCCCAGGCCTGCGTCCCACAGAGATCCTGGCAGTGACATTCATCAGGGAAGAGAAGATGAGAACTAATTTAGGATCCCTCCCAAAGTCACTGAAGATACTTTGGAGCATTCAGAGAGTCCCTTAGCTTAGGGTAAGTCCTGCCTGAAGGAGAGAGCAGGCTTCTTCCCCTAGGGGCTTCTTAGGCCAAGATGGTGCTAAAGGAAGTCAGCGGCTACATAGCTCCATGCTCACTCTAGCACCTGTCCCTGGAAACCCTGCACAGAGCGGGCTTCACTGGCCTCTAGTGGGCATCACTGCCAAGCACTGGGAGAGCCTTGTGTAAGTCCTCACCATGTTAGTAGTACAGAGGTATCAAAGGAAAGAGGTTAACATCCAGAAAGAAGGTAGGCTAGCCTTAGCAAAACACGGATGGACGAAATATAACAACAAAAATATTAATACATAGGCAACCTCACTCTCTGGTGCCAGAAATGCAGCAAAAGTCAAAACCAGAGCAAAATGTGAGAGACTCCTGGTATCACGCGAATCAGGGAAGATTGGGATTGTAACACATCAAACAGGAGACATGATCTTGAGCCTGAGAGAAGCAGGAAGCTAGAACTGAGATTAGCCTGCATAAAGTCAGGGACTGAACAGGCACAACACTGTTCAGAAATGGGGAACACACAAGCTCCTTCCCATGGCCCAGAGGGGCAAGGGAAGAGAGAACATGTCACCAGGAGAAATGGAGACCCCAAGCCTGAGTATGGATTTGAGTCCAAATTTATGTCATGAGTGTGTTGGAGAAACCCTAAGTCAAGAACTTGTATAAAATTTTGTGCAGGACAGTAGTCCACTTAGAAACCCCAGCAGGAACAAGAGCAAACCTTCTTTGTAGAGACTCAGCAATCGAGGGCAAGAGGGATTCCCATCACTAAAGATGAGCTCTCTATAAAAAAATTACACATCTCATGTGAACGCAGTCTGCCATGAGGGAGAGTGAGCAGATGTCATATGCTTAGGACAACTAACTAGAGATCATAGAATAATCTCAAAGCAAAGATAAAATAAGCATGCTTAGTATTCTAAAAAGATCAAAGAGAAGTATCAGTTTTGTCTTTAGCACAGATCCAGATATCTCCAGGGCCCCTACTCCTCCACTGCTCAGCAAATTGTCAGATGACAGGAGATCAAAAAGGGCAAAGAATGAAGACCACACCTCTGGCTTATTGTTTTGGGGTCCAAGGAGCCACCAAGCTGAGCCTCAGGCAACTCAGAAATCAGAGCTGGTTCCAGGCTTATCCAAACTCCCAGACTGCTAAATCTCAGTGGAGAAGCTCTTTCATTCTTTGACAAAATGTCTGAAATTTGGAGAGTGTGGAACCAGGACAGTGTTTTCCTCCCCAGTATGTGAGGAGGGTTTTGTAAAGCTTCCCTACCCCGACAGTGAGAGGGTGATTTTACTCAAGAGCTTGGCTTCTCTTAGTGCTTAGACACTATAACTTTGAAGGAAGCTCTAACTCA